CCCGGCGGGCTGGCAGCCCTGTCCCCATCCCCGCAGCCCCGGGCGGGGATGGCTCCGCGGGGACAGCCCCGCTCCTGCAGCGCTCGGGGCTGGCCCAGGCTCCGCAGGTTAAAAAAAGGAACCCGCCGGGAAGAGATGACACAAACTTCAGCTGGAAAGGGCGGCGGGGGGAGCCGGGGGACAGACGGGATGAAAAAAATAAACGGAGGGGGAACATTTGGGAAGTGTGGAAACAATGTGGGCGCTTTCGAGTTCCACCAGGGAAATGCAGAAGCAAGCAGCCTATGTGGGCATCGTTAGCTGGGGCTTGGCTTAAAATTCAAGCTGTAAAAGAGGTGAGAAGATGGGAGAAATTATTACAAATCGTTTCATTTCAGATTGAAGCAAATATTTCAAATAGAGATTTTTTTTTTCTGTCTCCTTTTTAAAATTTTTTTGTAGGTCAGTCATTTTCACCCTGTTTCCATAGCCAAATGAAATACCTTTTCTTTCTTCATCTCTGCAGCTTCTTGGCAAATGACAGCAGCCAAGCCAGGTTCTTGCTTCAAATCTTCCCTCAGCTCCACACTCTGCTGCAGTTAAGATCAGCAAAGCTTTGCTCTGCAAGTCCAGGGGATGCACTTTGGAACTCACAGGCTCCAAAATCCCGGATTCTCTGCTGGAAATGAACCAGAGACAGTCAGATCTTCTTCCATGTGAATCCTCTCCCTCTCGCCCTCCAGCTCCAAGGGCTTTTCCCACTGCCTGGTCACCTGTTAGCAGTGCTCATGGAAGACAAAGGAAAGGTGCCCATGGATAGATTTTAAATTAACTTGAGCTGACTTTGTACCCTGCCTGTACATGACACATTGGAGCTTCTGCTGTGGTTAAAATTTTCAGGATTTTGCATTTCAGTGATGTCTGTCACAAGAGTGGGTGCTGGGGCCTCACCCTGTCAACTCTCTGTCACATCAACCCTTGCACCTAACAGGTGCAGGATGAGCCTCTTCCTTTCCCTCTTGATGCCAGCATTTGCAGTTCTAGTCAAACCTGTCTTGGGAAAGGAGACCTGCCAGAGGGAAAACTGAAAAAAAATTGCAAAATTCTTATATTTTTAATTCTTTTTAAAGCATCCTTACCACAGATATTACCAGAGCTAGGTTTGATTTTGGGTGGTATACTTGTGGTTTTTGTTTTAAATGCAGCTGTTATTCACTAATTGAGAGTGGAATAGATCAATTTTTCCCAAGCTGACTTTGCACAAACTAAACTCAACTTGGAGGGTTTTTTGTTGGTTTATTTTTACCTTCTTCTTCATCTTGTTTTCAGCAGGGATCAAAACAAACCCTGTTTTTCTCTCTTCCAGCCAGGCCTAGCAGGCTCAACAGGATACACTTGAACATCAAAGCTGACAGTGAATTCTCATTTTATTCCTGAGAGTAATTCTAAAAACGGAGGGAAGATGAGGGACAGTAAACATTTGATGATTCAATGTAGATGAGAGACCAACCTTCATCAAATAGATTGATGATCCCAAATTGAAGGGCCTGCTGCAAGGGACAGTCTGCAGGCAGATGCTGAAGGTGTTTATGTGCTGATTTGTTCTGTATTTGAAATGATTAATTCCTGCTGTCAAGTGTTTTATCCACTGCTGTATTCCAGCACCAATTCCCATTCAGTCTCCTCCCAGCTGAGTGTTTATGGAAGTAATTGCTGGCTGCTAATCCTTGTGAGCACTTCTCAGTGTCTGCAACAAAAAATGACAAATTTTAGACAGGTTGAGAACCTTTTTTTTTTACATTCTGGTGGGGCCTTTGCTGTTGCAGTGAGAGAAATTCCCTGGATTACAGGCCAGGAGTCAGTTCATGCTCTCTCTGTGTCTCTGGTGCTCCTCATCAGGAATTCCTGCCTGCTCCTCCCAGCCTGTTGGGACACCCTGCACAAGTTTCCTGGCCATGCTTTTCAGGCCCCACATTAAAATAATGTGTCCTAAAAAGCAATTCGAGTTCTGCTTTATTCAGGTTTATCTCCACACTCCCAAGGAATCCTTTACAACTCTGTGCAGAGAGTACAGGGGTGGGGGTGGAAATCAGATGTTTCTGCTCACCAGAGAATGGTGCTGTGAAGTACCAAATGTTCCAAGGCTACATTTATTTACATTTATAAACTAAAATTAATCAAGAGAAGCCATTTATACCTAGAGTAACTTGGGAAAACAACTTCCAAGAAAATTCCACATGTCCACAGGATTCTGCCAGGCTGCCAAAATTAATGTGAGCTAAAGTCATGGGATATAGCTTTGGAAATTAAAAATTGGGGCTTGGCTCATTTCTTCCCCTATTTTAACTCTGAATTTCTGTGTTGTTCCTGCAATAACAAATCCTGTGACAATATAACTGGGGGGGGGGGTAAACAAGAATCCTCTCCAGATTTAAAACCTTCAATTTAGATTTGCTATAAGCAAAATCTGCACAAGCCTTCTATAAAGATTTCATAAAGCTGGACTCTTAGTGGGTAAATAGCTACACAAAAGCAAAGAAATACAATCAGAATTTCAGCAGTGATAATAATCTGACAATATTTTGGATCAAAAGCCTAAAATCACAAAGCCATTTGTAAACAAGATCAACACATTTAGCTGTTTTATTAGAGGCTGACTTCAATCAAAAATAGGCTGATTTGTGCCTAAACAGTTTTTGTAATGGGAAAAAAATATTCCTTTGTTGCAGATAATTTTAAGTAAAGCACCACCTGATTGTTTGGCTTCTGTTTAGAAAGGCTTAACCCCTATCATCATAGATATCTCTCCATCCAATTTATTGCCTCTCAGTGGGTGAGATGCGGAGTTTTGGGTTGAGGAAAGCAGCAAAAATCACTTTTCCATCTATTGATGTTGCCCTTCCTTTGTCCCCTGCTGACAGTCTGAAACCAGTATTTTGTCATCTTCATTTTATCTTCCACCCCCTCTTCTAGACAGGAGTGGGTGAGAATATTCCAAATAGGGGATTTCTGCTGCAGACTTATGCTGAGCCCCCGGAAAAGGTGGCACAAATTGGGAGTTCCTTGAGTTAATTCATCCTTTCCCACTGTGCTTTAGGGACACACCCTTCTGCTAATGGGTAATGGTACCTTGAGTTCCTTAAACAGGTATTTTATACACAGACAACACTTGGAGAGAGCCTCCAGTCCTGGTTATCCACAACTTCCAAGAGTTTGCAGTCACCCATCCCACTGAACTGAAATCTAGAAAATGGCAAATACATGCCAGCACTGAGAAGACACTTTTGAAAGGTTTTAATGAGACAAGTGAGACCAAATAAAATAATACCAAAGAGACCTGAGAAGAACTCGATGCACAACACCTCAACTGCCTACAGTCAATCATTGGTGCAGCTTAGAAGCTGAATTTGCACTCTTCATGCAGATACAGATGTTATCAGCATGCCCAACTCACAGTTACTGGCAGCTGCTCCAGCCTGGAAAAGGAATGAACTCTGAGGAGAGTTTATGCTCAGCTCCTCTGGATATATTTTCAACTATAAAAATATTCTCAAATATTTTCAACTTAAAATATTTTGTATTATTAAAGGTACTCAGTGAACAGTGTCATTATTTAATTCAAGTTACAGAAGCTCTCTGCAGGCACATAAAATCTTTTATTTTATCCTGGACACTCTTTCTTTCCCTGTTTTAAAGTAGGGTTAGGGGTTTCTTTGTGCACTGGATGCTCCAGATCAGTATGGGAAGATTGTTAGGAATTAAATTTCAAAGAATTGAATAATTCTCACACCTCTGGTAGGAAGAAGCATCTCCCCCCACCCTTAGGTAGTGGTCCAGTGCCCTTTGTTTCTGCAAGCAGCCCACTGAGCCAGGCTTTGGGTTAATCCTGGAATTTCACAAAACCAACTTGCCTTTGGATTGAGTCTATAGCATAATAATTAAAAAAATGAAATTCCAGCTTATAGATGAAGATGATCACTCCATGTATGAGGTGTCATGCTCAGCAGTAAAAAATGGGGCCAAGAGGGAGGGAGGACAATAATTTGAGTGATGATATTTGTCTTCCCAAATATCCCATGGGATTAAATCCTGCCCTCCTGGGAATGGCTGAACATCCACCTGCTGATGGGAAATAGGGAATTTATTCTTTGTTTG